CTGACGATGATGAGTATGTTGTGAACTGGGAGGACCGATGGGGCCTGGCCGCCCGATAGGGTTGATAACCTCGTAAGGAACATGGCGAACCTCGGGCGATGGTAGAGGTGATATCGACGTAGTTTCTTGCGGAGACCGCGCGGGTGCGGAGAAAGTTTGAGCTGGTGCAATGGGTGGTTGATCCAAACCTAGGTGACTGCGAAGTGAGATGTCTCGTGCTGGGAAACCCCCAAGGCCCTGTTCAAAGATCCCGTTTCCTAAAGTTTTATCACTGCTGAGAGGCTTCCAGGGGTTTGCGATTGGAGGGGCAGTGTTCACGAATTTGGGATTCGGTGACCACGGCAGATATGAGCTAGGAGGGTTGATGTTACCCCTCCACTGTGGGTTCTGCTCGTCAATCTTGGCTTCTGGGAGTTGATCAGTCGACGGAGCCGTGGCATCGCTGCCCTGCTGGATCCCATTCGGCAAAGGCGCCTCTTGCTTGGGCTCACGAGCCGGTGAAGATGTGCGTCGCACTCCAGCAGTGGCAACAGGTTTCTCCGCAGCTCTTTCCCTCTCGACGAGCTTCTTCACAGTGTCGGGGTGGTGAACTTTCATCATTCCATACTGCTTGGGTTCCCCACTTGGCTCGGGAACAGGAGGCTTCGGAGGGGAATGTAGCACATGCGGGGTAGCTTGTTGAGCATTAGCTTCGTTCTTTCCAGTGTCAACTGATTCTCTGCGTAGTGACTTTGGTTTCTCTGGTGGAGGACCAAGCGCCTCGAGCTTCTGCCGGATCCGTTCACGCTTTGCAGCTTCTTCTTCCTTCTCCTGATCAAGCCTCCGCTGGCGAGCTTCCATTCTTTTCTCCTTCATGATACGTTCTTGCATTGCTACAGGGTCTTCCTGAGGCGCCTGCGGCACTGTCGTCTGCTCATCGGCTGCCTGACTCACATCAGTAGGCGCAGTGGTATTTCTGTCTTGAACATGCGTAGAACCCCGCGCAGAGTAAGGGCCAGCGCCACGTCGATCAGGTGAGATCTCACGGTGAAGAATGTCTTTAGCTGCCTCTCTAATGAAGACAGATGGATCAGGCATTCCATTGACTTGAGAGCCCCTTCTAGAGTCGAATGCTTTGTGAACCACGTCAGGTCGACCTATCGACATCCGACGTCCAAAACTGCCGCTTCCACCACTAACATTAGAAGATGTTCGGCGGCGCGTCCAGTGCACACCATCTTGGCCACTCGAACGATGCGTCTGGAATGCCGCAGAAGGCTCTGCTGGGCCAGCCTGATCGCCTTGTGCTGGTCTCTGAAGCACAGATGGTGTGCGGAAGGTTTGCTCAGCACGCCATGGGCCTTTCCTGGTGTCAGGAGCAGGCTCGTAACGACCCGATCTAGAGTTGTAGAGCTCGCGTGTTCCAGACTGCATTTCCCTCCAAGATCGGTTGAAATCATCGGCTGCAATCTCCTTGGGAGGCAATGGCCCGCTGAGACTTTCGGCAACATGGGGTTCCCTGACGGGGAGGCGCATAGGTGGTTGAACCTGCATTGGGGGCATCACAGGTGACACTTTCTCGACCGGGGGAAGGGGAGCCCATGGTGACTTGGTCGGAGGCGGTGCCGGACTAGTCGATAGCAGGGGAGATTTGTCGTTTGGTCCCTTTGCGACGATACTAGCGCTCTTAGCTTGTCTTTCGGCGTTCGCGCCAAGTCGTAGGACAGTCGGGTTTGGACCAACTGAAGTTATGGTTTTGGGAATATTTGGAACCGGCTTCGGGAGTTCTTTTAGAGGCGCAGCTTGCTCGACTAGAGGGAAATCCTTTTGGAAATCTGCGACGGCCTTTTCTTGAGTCGGTATCGGCGCTGTTGTGGGAGGCTCCGGGTGAGTAAGGTTCGTTTTCGTCCCGTCAGTCCATTCAATTGTCTCAGGAGCCCAGTCGTCTTCGTCGTCATCGATATCTGCCCATTTCGATTCTGTGCCCGCGCCGTCTTCTTGGATTCTAGAAGTCATGTGGATGCCATATTGTTGCTTGAGTTCCTCATCAGTCAGGTGTTTAGGGGGAGTTTGCTGAACCGCTGAATGCAAAACAGTGTTAGCAAGGGATTAATAACAGCAGGTCGTATGTTAAGCCTTACGTCGATTTTTATTCCAAACCTGATTTGGATCCGGTCCGTTACCACCTGCTTTGGATGCGCTTGTGCCTGATTTTGATAACGAATCCCGTAGGCTGCTAGTGGACTTTACGACCAATCGGGGTCGTGAGGTCTGTTGCGGCGTACCCAGGGGAGTTGTCAGAGTCGAGGAGGGGGCTGTGGGGCGTTAGAACATGGACTCGACAAGCAGATTTATTCGAGTTACCTTTCTCGGAGGGTTTGCTGATGGGAGGAGTGCCTGGCGCCTTGGGAACTGAAAATTTGGCAAAAGTGACCGGCTTAAATGACGTCGGCTTCTTTGAACTGGCACGCGCATGGAGTTTGCTCTCAGCACGACTTGCGTCGGACTCAGAACCCCCTTGAGAAGCTGTGTCCTCCCCAATATCCGACCCAGATGTTACACCGTTCATTTCTAGCGCTCGTGCTGCGACCGGCACAGGAGCGTACTTCGAAGTGTCCTGATCTCATTCAGTATACTGTAGGTCGCGACACACGATTCAAGTTAGGCCACTCACACTCGGCGTTTGTTCAGAGTCCTCTCCTTTCCCGTGTTGACCTGAGGGTTCTGCTGCTGCACCCATCTTGCGTTCACCCTGTTGAGCGTTCGTCCCCGTCTCGCCTCGTATCGTTGTAGCGGTATCTTTCGTCTCCCCCGCGTCCCCTCCAACAGGTGTCTTGTCGGCGGTGCTCGCAGGAACGTCGGAAGGCGAAGGATCGCCGCCCGACAGGGTTTGGTTTACCACATCGTGGTTACTCTGCTCTGCCATAACAATTCTCGAGTCTGTGAGGCCAACAGGTTGCGACATCTGTTAGACAAGTGTTCTGAACAGGTAAATATGGAAACAAGAGGCGGCTGAGATCCGAAAGTCATGGATGTATGCAAAGGAATGGTCTGAGGATATACCTATTGTCAGGTATCAGAGATCGCCACGGTTGGACTTGCTAGCTCAACTGTTTGAGCCGTAAAAGCTCCGAACGACCAGGTGGACGGCGGAGAGGGGACCAAGATCAGCAGAATGGCTGGAAAGCCAGGGAAAGATAGGAAGGCGGAGGAAGGGCAGGCGTATGAGAGCTTGTAGAGTGAGAAGTGAAAGCTGCTGCCCAGGCAGACCCGTTAAGGGGGGGGAGGTTGCGATAGAGGAGGTGGTGATGCTTGTGAATGATCGGGTGATGGCTGCTGCAGTCATTGACGGTGACTTGACGGGACGGTTCAGGTTGAGGCACTAGGGTGGCTGTTTTCGGTTAGCGCGGCCACCTCCCGCAAACCCTGTGGCTGGAGCCGCGTTGGAGCCTTTGTTGCCGCCCGCATCGGATAGATTCACTTGGTGTTAACAACACCTTCAGCCCCCAGTGCCAGCAACTTATCTCACACTGTCTGTGTTGATCGCAATTTATCGGTTACATCGATGCTCACTGGCTGCGACTTCCCACGAATACCGCAGTGCACAGAATACACAGATGCACTGGCCGACGATGAGTTCAAGTAGTCGCTTTCCCAGCACGACACCTACCTACCACCTTTACCGCATGGCCAACTAAACCACATAACTTTGATACAGAACCTCAACCCAAGCGGTCACGCTGATTCACCTAATATAAGGCTTTGATACGGTCGGAGGATGTTTTTGCAACAACAGCCGTCTTGCTGCCGGTGCTCCCGGGCATTGATTGAAACTCGAGGCTTTAGTGAAGGCTTGGTTGAATCACACAGTGCACTCCTAAATTCTTCTTCTCCTTTCAGACTATGAAAATACTCACACCCAATCGGCCGCGGGTATCGTTACGTTGAACTATTTTTGAGCGGGTCGACAGCAGATTGAATGGTGGTGCTTCATAGCTCATGAACATCGTACGCTGTCAAATCGTCACTTAATCTGTATGATCACCGGAATCACCAGCGCTTTGCTGCTCTTGAAAGTAGAAACTTAAAAGTCGACCTGCGATTACAAGGAGTTCGTCCACGCGTGAAACACAATGAAGTCTCTCGTCCAATGCATGCGAACCAGACCCATTTTCGAAGGCATTCAAGAACTGCATTCGCCGCAGTATACAAATGACTTCGAAAGATAATGAGGTACTCATAGAATGCTTTGCAAAAGTGGAGTGCCAAATTCTTGGTCGGATCAAATTCGATACGATCAGCGATCCCAAGAGTCATAGCTCATAATGTAGCCAGAGGATAAACATACTAGACGTTAACAGCGTTAGGGTTCTGGATGAATCTAGATCCACTACTCTAGCCTACATAAGGGCGACGGTGCGGCGCCGATAAGAGATCCGGGGTGACATCACCGGTACGAGGGTCATATCCCTATGAAGGCTGGGTGCGACTGGGCTATAATGTAACTACCTGGACCGAGATTGCAAGGTTCTAGAACTACAAGGATATGGAGAGCGCTGACGATTGGAAGAGCTTTGCATGAGGCGCTGGCCTTACGGGGCGTATCGGTACAACGACTGAGTATGCAGCGGTTCGGGTATCCCAGCATAAAATCGGGTATCGACAGTTCGATGACATGACCAAGACGATATGGACCTCCAACAGAGCAGAACGTCGGAGATGAATTCGGGGTTTGGAATTCGTCGGCTCTTGTCTTGTGAGGTGGCGGGACGACCGCCAGCGGTCCTCATGAAGACGTGCGGAATAAACTCATGACAGCTCGGCGATGGGCGCAGGTCGTGTTGGAATGCTTTTGAACAAGGAAATGAAAATTTTGTTTTTTCTTTCATTCAGGGGAATCTATGCACAAGATCAAGGTGTGCTAGTACACCCGGGAACCCTGCTTCATCTCATCTTAATGCAAAGGTTAACCCCCAGATGCAAAACCCAGAAACACCAAGCAACCGCAAACGACCAGATATCATTCGTTTAAATGTGGGTGTCGTAGGGGATGGGGGTGATGGTCTCAGGGGCGGAACCCTCAACGGTGTGAGCCTCGCGGGGACCGACGGGCTGGCGCTTGAGGTGGAGGTGGACACCCTGCTCCTTGGCCTGGCGCTTCTTCTCGGCGTTCAGCTTGACGCGCTTGATGAAGTCCTCACGGGAGCGGGAGTGCTTGACGTGCTCGATGCGGACGTTGATGCGCTTCTCCATGTAGCGGTTGCCGACGACCTTGTAGAGGAGGACACCGACGGAGGACTTGGTGACGTTGTAGACAACACCGGTCTTTCCGTTGTAGACCTTGTAGGGCATACTATTCCAAATCTCAGCAAAAACCATTCGATCACGTTGGCGGGAGGCAACCAGGCCAAGTCGTTCTTTTCGGACTCGTCACGGCTGGCTGTATCGAGCGGAAATTTGGTACTGACCCCTTCTGAACGGCACCGTTTACCTTGACATCGACGATGTCGCCAACCCTATATCAAAACTATCAGATCCTGCAAATCACGTATATACCGGTTGTTTCGGCGGAGGGAAAAAATCGGTCGTACCGGTAGGTCTTCAGGTAGGTCGACAGGGCGATCTGACCCTTCTCCTTGAAGTTGCGGCTGAAGGCATACTGAACGATAATTTGTGGTCAGCGCGTGCGTCCCAACCAGCGAAAATTGGCGATGCAAAAATCCTCCAGATATCGACATACCCGAGTGCCGGCTCTCAAACCGTGCGAGTGACCCATTTCGGCGGTGTTGGTGGTGCTGGTGTTGAGAACTTGTCGACGTCGAAAAAGTGCCTCACTCTGCCGCCCGTCGCGATGGTGTAGACTTGTTCGGGTAGTTAGTGTGCCCGTTCTCCGCCGCCGAGGGCTAGCCCTCGCACTAATCCGGATGCGGCTCCACCTTCGCTCGCTTAGTCTCCATCTCCAAAACGCTTCTTCATCATCCTGAACGTCTACGATTCTTGTGAAGTTCGGTAGCACGACAACATCGCGACAACGCGCAATCAGCAGTCATGGCCCCCGTCCCGTGAGTATACGGTCTACGATGAGAACTCGAGGTGTCGCATTTTTCTAACTCGAATTGCTGCGATGTAGCCGCGTTTACTCCAAGACCTACAAGGTCCCTCGTCGTCGTAAGTAGCCTTATCAGTTTGGGATCGGAAAAAAAATCTCGATACATATGGAAGTTGGTCATGTGCTAATATCGATATAGCTTTCGAGTCGGCCCGTCTGTTAGTACTCTCCGGCCACTGATCAGAAGCGTGCTTCTGTTTATGTCGTGTGTTCCTGTGTCTAATTATGCTATAGTGACTCGGAACTGAAGATTGTCGGCGAGTACGGCCTGCGCAACAAGCGTGAGGTGTGGCGTGTCCAGCTCACCCTGTCCAAGATTCGTCGTGCTGCTCGGTATGCGACTCACCACCCGATCATAATCTTCGAATGCGACCGCGCGATCCAACTTCGACCCAAGCGCTAACCATGTCTTAGTGAGCTCCTCACCCTCGACGAGAAGGACCCCAAGCGTCTTTTCGAAGGTAACGCTTTGATTCGCCGTCTGGTCCGCATCGGTGTCCTCGATGAGTCTCGCATGAAGCTCGATTACGTCCTGGCCCTCCGTGTTGAGGACTTCTTGGAGCGTCGTCTTCAGACCTGCGTCTACAAGCTTGGCCTTGCCAAGTCCATCCACCACGCTCGTGTCCTGATCAAGCAGCGCCACATCCGGTATGCGACCATCACTTGATCCATTACCATGGATTTGCGCTAACCCTCATCATCAGTGTCGGCAAGCAGATCGTCAACGTTCCCTCCTTCATGGTCCGCCTCGACTCCCAGAAGCACATCGACTTCGCTCTCACCTCCCCCTACGGTGGTGGCCGCCCTGGCCGTGTCCAGCGCAAGAAGGCCGCTGCTGCTTCCGGCGGTGCCGGTGAGGAGGAGGAAGAGGAGGAGTAAACGATTTAAAACAGGAGTACGGACGGGTTTCGTTAGCGAAATTAAAACTGCGGGGTTCCTTTATGGCTGCAGTATCGCGTATCACGTTGTACGGTCTTGCAATACCATGAATGAACAGATAGCCTTCGGCTTACTTTCGTCGCCCTACTCTCTTCTCTGCGTAGTTGCGCGTGTGTTACCAATTTCATGCATTCTCAATCTGTAGAGCAGGCTCAGGACAAGACGCCGTTTACACCAATAAAAAATCCGTAGTCGTCACTCATCTCAAAATCAACACCTTCTATCCTTGCACGCCCGTCAGTCTCTTTAGCGTCTCTTCTGCGCTTCTGTACCATCTTCCCATTTCTTCGAGTCCGTCGCTCTCCCCCTCTTCCTTTTTCCTCTGAATCTCCTGCGCCTGTGCTATGGCTTCTGTCTTCCTCCGTTCTAGAACACCTAATTCGCGCTCCACCGCCTCGGCCTCTCTAGTCTTGCGGGGCAAGGCGTTTTGCACCGCGGCAAGTTGTCGATCAAGCGCCGCCAGTTCGGCCTCCCGTTCGGATAGAAGGCTCAATGTAGCCGGCAGAGGTAAGTTCTGAGACGATGATGCATCTGCGTTCGTGACTTGTTTAGCACGCAACTCTTCGATGGTTGATTCGAGATTCTCGATCGATTCCGGCAGCGTTGAAAGCTTAGTCAATTGCAATTGCACGTTTTTGTATCCTGCGCGTCTCAAAATAAGATCGTGTTAGGCGTTTTCACCTTCCAAGGCAGGCAAGCTTGCACAATACTTCGTTTGGCATGTTATGAGCACTCACGATTTGCCAAATCCCGACCCATCTTCTCCATCTCTTCAGTCATCGCCCGGACCTCTTCTTTCCTTGCGCGAAGTTCTGCCTTCACCTCGGCCAGTTGCGTCTCGAGTTCGACGTTTTCATTGTGCCCAACGACCAAAGGAGGATCGCCGACGATCGCGCGCAGGAACTTCTCCTTTGTCACTTGCTCTACATAAGAGAAGCGTAGTTTCGAAAATAACTCCTTCAAAGATGGCTGATCAGTATACCACTCCCCTGCGCTTACTTTCAGACTTTCGCTAGAAAAAAAAATAAAGAGATTGAAGGGTTCGCACTTTGTAGTGGCTGAGGTCCGCCTCCAATGAAGCAGGTGTTGGGTTATCGAGGGAAGAGACATCTGAGTTGCGCTTCGAAGGGGTAGTGGCCTGGTCCTCAGATTTCGGAGAAAATATTGGTTCGCTGATCCGTATGATATTCAGCTGCGTCTTCAAGTTGCCATTTTCCTGTTCCAGTTGCTGGAGTTGTTTTCGTACTTCCGCGGGGTTCGGGTCGGACATGTCTTATCGTATGGTGATGGTGTAGATATTAAACAGGTATGAGGTAGGTGACAGGACTTTTATTGAGCCTAATGGCCATGTATTAGTGAAAGTGTGTAGCCGACCGAAGAGGATTTGACGATCTAGCGGCGGTTTTCTGCTGCTGCTGCGCGTGTCGGCAGAACATGCGGAGGTAAACAGTGGATTTCCCACTCATGGTGGCCCTTGTCGACCCACAATGCCTTATCGGGGCTGGGCGGTGAAGTCTCCGCCGCCGCAATGACCAGCCAGTATCGCCGCTCGTAGCTTCCTCCTGCAATCAATCGTATCTTGCATTTGTATTCACATCTGCAGGGACATTGAATTCAGGTTGTTCCCAGTTAAGCTTAATGAGCTAGTGGTGAATGCGACTCCGGCGTTCCATTTATGTCTAAATACCATCCCCTCCATCTGCCCCGCTTCCGACGATAATGCAATTTCCCCAACTCATCAAATCTCCTGCATTCCCCACCGATAGCACCGTCTGATACCATGTCTTCCAATTCAGCGAAATCGCTCGGCGCGCTCGACGACGATGACTACGTTGCCCAAGTCCTTGCGCGCGAGGCGCGCGATAGCTCCCTCAAGTACTCCGCACAAGGCTTGGAAGCATATATGCCAAGAAGGTGAGCACCGATGGTTTTGCGCATGCCGTTCTCTGGGGTTTAGGAGGGCAAGAGCTGACATACAAGCCCGCAAGACCTACAGGCGCTGCCCCAAAACCCAATACGAGGTTTCTCCGGCATATCATCAAGGAGACGGACAGTCATAATGCGGCGTTGAAACGGAAGGAGGAGCGAGAGGCGAGGGAGCGGATGCGGCAGTTGAGAAATCCAGCGTCCACTTCAACCCATGAGTCAAGCCGGGAGCATCGGCGGCGGCGCGATTATCCTTCAGACCACCGAGGCTCGCGGACGAAAGGCAGGGAAGAGCGCGAGGACAGACACAGCTCCCGTCGGAGGAAACACGAGAGTCGTTCGAGGTCCACGGAGCGTGATCACATGCGCAGCAGTGACCGGAGGAGGTACAAGGTCGATGACACCAAAGTCAGCCGGCATGATCATTCCAGAAGAAGTCGTCGACATCGATCTTCTTCGTGGTCTAGGAGTCGATCCCCACGGATCGATCGAAACTCAAGCTCCAGAAGTGTTCGCAAAAGCTACCGTACGCGTGGTGAGTCGCCGCCACGCTCCCGGTCTCGGTCCCACGAAAGGTCGGACAAGCGCACAACTGCAGACAATGAGAGGAGGATTCACCCTAAGGACTATGATCGTCATAGCTCCAGAGGCCATAGGGCGTCGCGCGAGGACCCACCACGTCGTCACCCATCAGCAACTGAAGGCAAGCCATCGGAAAGCGAGTCGGATCCACTAGAGGATCTTGTTGGACCCCTACCACCGAGAAAAGATGGATCCGAGGAGCCGGCGCCGATTCGTTCGCGCGGCCGAGGTGCCTACAAAGCCAATATGAGCAACATCGACGTCCATTTCGCACCCGATTATGACCCAGCCACAGACCTGCAGCTCGAAGAGGACGATCTACAGTCCAGTAACAAGAACTCTCGCAGACACGTTCCTGGTCTCATGACCGGCGACGATGATTGGGATTATGCTTTGGAAGCTCTCCGTGACCGTGCTCGTTGGAAGCAGAAAGGCGAGGAGCGGCTCCGCGAAGCTGGGTTCAGCACGGATTTTGTGGAGCGTTGGAAAAGCAACACTACCTCCAAGCCTGAGGATGATACCGATGGTCGACTGGAAACTGTGAAATGGTCCAAGAAAGGTGAGGGTCGGGAATGGGACCGCGGTAAATACGTGGATGAAGATGGACATATTGATGTAAAGGCCTCCTGGTAGCCCCTGGGACTAATAGAGGATCGTCTTGGAATTGGCACGGGACCGTAGCATTACTCTTATGGATAACCTATATCATAAAGACTATTACACTATCATGGAACGAGTTTCGCATTACTGTGCACACATGCGGTTCTGTGTGAGAATTCTTCTCAGATAACTACCAAATTATCAGAGGCATAAAGGTCAGTTTACACTCGTACTCATAGCTTGACAGGTTAAATCTCGACGGAAATATAAATAAAGTGGCGCCCGCCCCTAACTACCCCGCATCGGCAGTACATAGATGTATACTATCAATAGCTGTGAGAGATAGGATTTAGCTTTATCGTTTGGCCTTGCGAAGAAGTACTACACATGCAATCCCATTGGTATCAGCTACAACCAGCTGAAAGAATATGATCGTCATGATGGCTTGGCTGTCTCGAACACTTTGCGGATGCAGTGCCAAGATCCAAACCCGTCCAGTTCCGCGCGGTTGGTCAGGAGTGCGGAATTGTCGTCATGGCTTTGTAAAATCGGTCACTAATCGCCTCATCGCAACGATTATTAAGTGGTGGGACAATGGGCTCAAGTTATTGGTAGTTAACGGAGATTATGATTGGTAATGTAGATAGAAGCCTTGTGATGGTACTTTGTAAAGTCCTTAAAGAATAGACTTTTCGCACCATATCTGATAAGTCAACTGTTCTGTAACCTGCTGTCGCTCGTCGGAAGTACATACCCGCCTGTCTGTCAGATGATCATCGTTTTAAAGAATTAAGTAGGTGATTGTGGTTTGGAACATCGCGGAACGGGTCGAATTTATACTCAAGCACAGCCAACCGTGACTCCCCACAACATCAACCCTACAGTACTGTTCAACAGTATACAAGAGATGACGGATCAATTTGCCTTTTCATACCCCTCCCCGCTCGAAGGGTACGAGAACCTGGAGCCGCTCTCAGAGTAAGTCCATCCTAGCCTTCGCATATTCACGAAACAATACCTGGCCAAGCTATTCTCCACAACACGAGTTACTGAGATACTGCGGCTTAAGTGAGCGAAACGAGGACGGAAAGTCCCTCAAGAACCCCCAACATGGCATCCTGAGCAAAGCATACGAGGAATTCCCGGATCCCCTCACGAAAGACCGACGCGGAGGCTTCGACATACATATCTATCACTTTCAAGTGAGTTCAAGCCCCCAGGATGAGCCAGCCATAATGCACCCAATCGCATATCCTCCAGATCTAATTTAGGGGTGTCTGTTTCTAGAATGACCCCGACCAAGTCACTTTCGCCAAGGCACTCTGGGAAAGGATCCGACGAGAATGTAAGCTTGTTTTTTTTTCCCCCTAGTCCAGCGTTCTGTATACCTCCGCACGTGGGCTTCCAAATGGCCACGCTGCGTCTTGGATTACAGATAATTAAGGTGCAGGTGGGCTCTTGAAAATTGTCATTAACCCATATGGATGCAGTCCCCGAACTCCGGATCTACACCTTCTTCGATCGTCCCGTAGGACCGCATCCCGTGGCCATGTTCGAGGTCAATATATTCACCCCGGCGCAGTTTGGAGCATTCGTGCCATGGCTGGTCATCAATCGAGGCCCGTTGAGTGCTTTAATCCATCCAAATACGGTGGAGACGGAGGAACTGCGTAATCATACGCAGCGTGCTACGTGGTTGGGCGAGAGGATTCCGTTGGACGTGCGGATTCTTAAATTGATCTCGGAGCAGGCGAAGAAGGAGGAATTGGGGAACTGAGGATGAGGCAGTAGTGATGGTGGGTCATTCTCTCGACCGTGACTCGACTTTGTGTGCATAGCATATCATAGCCTGGGTGATTCGTGGTGTGACTGTTTATGAATTCAAATGTTTGACGTTCTCAATGCCGCAGAAACCTAATTGGGTTGATTGATTGTCACCCGCATCAATCACTCGATGGGGGAGGGAGTGCCGGTGCCAAGACTATTGGTCATCTGCATGGGGTTGTGTTTGTGAGGACAAGGAGGAGTGGATTGAAGATGGTGTCATTTCCCTGGACATCGAAGCTGGACATGCCAGGGTAAGGGGCCTGCTCCTGGCCATTATGAGTCTCACGGGGTCCCAAACCTCCTCACAAGCTGCAGGGTTCGACCTTGCCGATCACCCAGTCATCGTGCAAATTCCAATTTGAACGACCAAATGTGCCCTAGGTCAAGCCCATTGGTCAATAGCAAAGCTCAGGTTCTGTTGAAACTGCATGTTATGCTAGACCCTGGTTTCTCTGCAACCAGGGAGCCTGACCCAGTAGCTTGATGATTTACGGTCTGAGGATGAAGCAAGGCTGACAGAACCCTGACTGTGAGCGCTTGACCTTGGAGCTGAAGACAAAAAGCAGTGGTTTTGGACACCGAAATCATCGCTGTGTCGCATGTGAAGATGGAAAAAAGGGTGCAGGACTTTGTATTAGACTTGGAAGGCCCCTTAATCCTCGACTTAGAATACTGCATCGAGACAAGAGGCAGCAGCAGCTTTTCGAAACCATATGTAGACTTTGTTTCTTCCAGTATGTCAACATGTTGAAACTCCTCTACCAGCTACCTCTACTAGCCACGGAGAGTGTCCTGTCTGTCGCCTCGATTACTTCCCTAACAGTAACTACGATCCCCGCATATGTGATAGAATACGGTGAGTGAACACCGCGAAGCGAGTGCATGTGATCTGATTGGTTCCCACAGCACCGCTTGTATGGCTACACATCCAAGATGTATACAGGCCTTCCGACATCAGTCAACAGCTCATAAACACCATTCCCATGGTAAATTGGTCATCCATTCCAGAGTCACCGTCGCCACCAACTCTAGATAACCTCGCGTACCTCAATGACGTGGGCAATACGAGCGTGTATCTCACGTCCAAGGAGGGGATCGATGCGGATCCTCAACCATCGTGGTTTTATGGGGTAGATCCTGATTTTCACGGCGTGACCGAAGGTGCTGTATCATCTACCATCGTCGTTCGCGATCATGGTGATGGAACCTTGGATGCCTTCTACTTTTACTTCTTTGCGTGAGTGAGCAGACCAAGCAGAGGGGGGGCGGGTGGGGTTCACGGCTAACGAGTCTTGTAGATATAACCAGGGCAACACGGTCTTGGGCATGCAATTCGGCAACCATGTCGGTGACTGGTAAGACACCCTCCCCGTAGCCATCATGGCTGCGATATTCACACTGCAATAGGGAGCACAACATGATTCGCTTCGAGTATGGAGTTCCCAGATCGCTCTGGTATAGCCAGCACGCTGGTGGACAGGCTTTCACTTATGAAGCCACAGAGAAGAAGGGAAAGCGGCCCATCGCCTATTCCGCAAATGGAACACATGCTGTGTATGCAACTGCTGGGTATGATATCTCAATGATTGTATTTGAGTCAGGAGCTTACCGTATTCTCCGACAGGTCTCATGATCATACCATCCCCAACTTCAACCTTCCCACGGGCTTGATAGTCGATTACACCGATCGCGGGGTTTTGTGGGATCCGACCCTCAATGCATATGCATATATTTACGATGCAACGAGCAAGAAGTTCCAGCCCTATGATTCCAAGTACCCGGTCAACTGGCTTGAATACAACGGTCAATGGGGAGACGATGCATTGCCGGGTGGACCGGAGCTTTTTGGGCAAGCCAAATACACCGGGGGCCCGAACGGTCCCAAATTCAAACACATCGTCCGATCCGAAGTGTGTCCGAAAAGCCCGTGCATAGTTCTCCCGTTCCGAATCTGGAGTAACGGCGAGACCACGAGGAAGCATTGATAATTCACCAGTATATAAGAGGACTTTTTGTTTTCAGCAAGGTATCATGCGATTCCCAAATGATGACAACTGCAGAATCCGATGTTGGGGGAGAGAACGTGTGGGGCCTGGAGGGTGTCTTGCTCTGAATGCCGAGGGAGGGGAATTCTAATGATCGGTATGGGGCCAGCAATATGAGGATTCATTCCGAAAATATGCTGGCTAAAAGGCCCAGGGATCATAAATGTTGGCTTTCAATAATGAAAAACCTAAAATTCCAACAAGCTGAATTAATGTATGGGATGCAGCTGGGCCACTTCCCAATGCTGCGCTCCCTCCGGTCGCATTCAGTATCTCTGTGCTCCTTGGCCATGACTCAGGGGCTTGGTGAGGATTGCGTGAGTTCTTCTTAGCATGGTCAATGCAAAGACTGTTGGAACCGTCTGTTTCTCGATTGTGATATTCCCTCTACCAATTAGAGCGAAAAGCAGACCAGGAAGTGAATCTACTGCTCTCATTAGTCAGGACCAGGCATCAAAACAGCATCCGCAGTCTCTGCCCACGTAAGACACGGGCAACTCGGAACGGAAAGTGACCCCCACCCCGCACTAAGAAAAAAGGGGCCACTCACTGTATGAGGCAGGTGCTGGCTGAACCGATAAAGCCCCCAAGAATGGCCGAGGCTGTTCAATTTTCCTGACTTTGACTTCTCCCACGACCTTGAAGAATCCGACAACTATGGACTGGGAGTCAAAGGGGTGTTGAGGCAAATGCTCAGAAAATCCGGGGAAAGGGAAAGGGGAAAAATCACGATAAGAGGAATGTCGCCTAGATGCAAGAGATAAACAACCTAACGAGGAATGACAGGACGGTACCCACGTGTACTGTACTTGGGGAGTTTTGACCACCGCCTGATCGTCAGTTGAACGTGCAGGACGGTCAATACGAGGGGTATCGGGGACGTATTGAACGGCAACCATATCTGCCCCAATTCGCGATTCGATCCGTCCTTCGCTGCATGAACGTTGAAAAATTAAATCTACTTCACTGTGCCTCAATCAATTGTTGCGAGATGGATCAGCCAGCTTAGCGCGGCTTAAGCTGTTTCCCTCAGCATTCCAATCGCAAAGGAATCACAGTCAATTGTAGAGCTTCATTCCGTATGAGCCTGAAGCTCTTACCCATGTACGGGGATTGTACACTAATTTCCGGGTAATAGAAGCTAACCACGCGTACGGAAATTGTCGTCGTACAACATTAGCAACATCAGAGTCTAGGAGAGAAGAGACCCAGATTTGAGAGCCAGTAACTAACTTAGTTAGCTGTAATCAATCAAACGGCTCGCCCCTCCAGCATCCATCCAATTCAAAGCTAAAACCCCAACAGCTTAGAGGCTAAACAATCTGTCCTAGCAAAGCAACCCAGTGCTCACTAACCCCAAATTGCACTAGACCAACCTACACTGCTGAGAGAGTCTGGAAGAGACCGAGCTTCGCTACCGCTTTGCCCCTGAATTTCCTCCGGCTCAAAAGCTTCTCAAGCTTCTCTCCGCCTTTGTAGACGTGCAAAAGTACCTAGAGAAATGACGAAAAGAGATTTGGAATAGAAGAAAAAGAAATAACGTGGGAAGCAAACCAACACAAAATAATTGGCTTTCATTCTCACAAACAAGACAGACTTCAGGCAGGTCCAGAAGTCCAGTTGTCCTGGAGAAAGGCAAACGTGCTGCAAGTCTGCAGTTGCACTGTGTCTGTCAGTCGAGCTTCTGTTCTGCGAAGCAGAAGGTTCAGTCGACATCAGCCCAGTCCGGTTAAAGGCAGCATCGCCTTTGTCCAATCTCACTGGCCGATCATCATCTATCCTCCAGCTCCATCCAACCTTTGCGCCGCTCTTCTCGGTCTCGGGCTCAATCCTTCATATCCTTTTGTGTCCCCTTTTCCTTCTTCTCATATTGTTCCCGTTTCAGTTGCAGCGCCGCTTTAGTCGGACGCTGTTGAGCAGGCATCGCTTTCAAAGATTCCCTGGTCGGATCGAACTGCAGTGCTGACGTATTGCTTGCTGGCCTTCGTTTTCATATTGCTTGCTGTACAGTACATTCGCGGTAGCAAGGTCTTTCAATTGGACGATCCACCTGCTGAGCTTGTGCAAAGTCGATTGGAATAAACACCTGGTCGCTGGACTTCTCGTCTCATCTCGGGTCAAGCGATTGCGCAGACATCTGATAATTGTGTCGGTTCTCTCTGCTCTCTTCTTCTAGTCCGTTTGTCCGTCGTTTGGTCAAGAGGAATTAGTGCAAGCGAGATTAGAAGAACAGCGAAGCCACTCGAACAGATCAGGTACGTTAATCATCTCGCAATCCGGGGACAGGCGATCCGTTGAGAACAATGGGTCTTCCGGTCAGGGGGTGCGGCGCATATTATACCGTGCCAAAACCACCTCTTTAAGAATTCATCGACTGACTGCAATTCACCACCCCTCTAGCTGAATTTACCCTTTGGATCCTTCGGTTCTAGTCTGGACTGAGCCGAGAGCAAATTCGGGATTGCTAAAGTGAATGAATTATTACTGACTATATCTGAGACACGATCATTCCCAGTGACCCCACTTCTGTTTGGCCATTTGCCCCCCCCCATTCGTGTTACAGCCAGTCAAGTGATAAGAGAAAGCAGAGGTGACCCAGAATAAAACCCAATGGCAAGCACATCAATAACACCCCGGACTCCGGTTCGGACTGACCCTTCCGTTGTCGCCGCAGAGACAAAGGATCAACGCAGAGCGTCATCTTTAAGCTTCCTTCGTCGCTCCAAATCAATTGAACTCTTGGGTGAGAGGAGACCATCTGCAAGCAAAAGTGGCAAGAATATACCGACGGAATCGGAATCTCACCATCAACGCGCATCAATGCTATACCACCAACCTCCCCGTCTTCCAAGCTTGTCTCCGGCTCCAGTCCTAGACACTTTTGGTGGCGAGTCACCACGAGAAACCACTGCAGCGCCTCCCACACAGTCCCCCGTGCCCCGTCCGCAGAGTGTGTCCCGCAGTACGATGAGTACGCCAGTGAAGCCAGAGAGCAGCGATCCATACGCGCGTGCGGAAAGCATGGCAAACCGTGGACGTTATAGCTATGTAAGCAGCGCTGCTAGTTCCGTCAACAACCCGCGTCGTCTACGTCGTCGCAAAGATCCTACTCCGTACAAGTAAGCTGTCATTAATCCGTGGGCATCTATCGATACAATATACTGACGTGCGTCAGTGTTCTTGTTGTCGGCGCAAGTAACTCGGGCAAGACATCGTTCCTCAAGTTTCTCAGAAAGTCTCTGGAGCTGCCCAGCAAGCATTCCAATCGTCAGCCGAGTGGCCTGGAAGATCAAGAGGGTCTGTCTACAACAGGTGAAGGCTATACTTCCTCCTATCTTGAGACTGAAATCGACGGTGAGCGGGTAGGCCTTACTTTCTGGGACTCGCCGGGCTTGGAGAAGAACATTGTCGATATCCAACTACGTGGTGTAACAGGCTTCTTGGAGAGCAAGTTCGAGGAAACCTTGAGGGAGGAAACGAAGGTCATTCGCTCTCCCAACGCCCGAGACACGCACATACACTGCACTTTCCTGGTTCTCGATCCCGTACGCTTGGATCAGAACATTGCGGCCGCTGAAAGAGCAGCGCAAGGGACTCCAAGATCAACCGACTCAACCATAATTGGCATCCTAGATGAAAGACTGGATGTGCAAGTCCTACGAACCATGGTGGGAAAGACCACTGTCGTCCCAGTAATCAGCAAAGCTGACACAATCACTGCCGGACACATGGCATACTTGAGGAAGGCAGTCTGGGAAAGTCTCAAAAAGGTCAACATAGATCCCTTGGAAATCTTGACTCTGGAAGATCAGGAAGAATATACTTCTTCAGAAAGCGGTGACGAGGAGGAGTCTGGCGATGATGAGGGTATCTCTAGGTCTTCCGCCCTATCCGAACCCAGCCAAAATGCTCCCGAGTCCCAAGCCGTGCCTCAGCTACTTCCCTTCACCACTTTGTCTCCCGATCCATACTCGCTGAAGTCTGGGGATGAGCCCATTGGCCGCAAATTCGCGTGGGGGTTTGCCGACCCATACAATCCAGAGCACTGCGATTTCCTCAAATTGAAGGAGGCTGTCTTCAATGACTGGCGGATCGAGCTTCGGGAAGCGAGTCGTGTCGTCTGGTATGAGAGATGGAGAACCAGCCGCCTCAACCGTCATGTCGCCACGTCTCCTGCTCCTTCCAAAGACCTTGCCCAGAAGAAGGTATACGGCGGGAAGACTGGGCCTGATCTCCGTCGGTTTGAGTGATCCCCTGCACTCTCGACAGTCGTTTTATATGGCTTGCATTCTGCTAAATTGTCTGAGATTTATCTACCACCATCTTCTCATATTTGCTTGTTGCAGCCACAGCATTGGTTATTAGCAACCCGATCTTGTGAACTGTTTTTACCTGTTGATGATGCGAAGAGAGGCCGCCAGCCTCTCGACAGCCGAAGCTGCTGATGAGAAATGCTGGGCCAAGGTCTCTCGCGTACGCTATTCAACGTTAGATACTCTCTTTGAACACCTTTACCCTTTGATGTGATATCAACCCCATGTTTTAACGTACCAGCGTTACTGCGGCACTTTCGACTAAGCACCTGACTGCTTGGTCATCTATCTGATTTTGTTACCCATTGCGTCCACAAGTCATACCCAATTCCATTCCTTCTTTGTACTTCTGATGATTTTCTGGTCCCTTTATGTTGAATCTGTCTTGTCGAACTACTTCCATGACTCGTGGTTTTGCTAAAGCTTCAGCATGTTTGTATCATGCCTGTTACTGTGATGGTTCGACGCTGTTATAGCGGGTAATGCATGCCAGACTCCGTGCGTGAAATTGGTTTATTCATTTCGGTAATAAGGCTGTGTGTATCTAGTAGATATTCCGGTGTTCAAGTATAGTCTGCTAGCTTAGTGTTGATGTCATTTCTGTTCGGTCGGAGATAACGTTACCATCACTCACTACACAGTACATGAATCTGGACTGGATGCATGCACTTATTACTGTAAAAGGAAAACCCCTCTTTCTTGCTTTGAAGAGAACCAACCACCCGACCAGTAGAAGTGGATTAGGCTAGCCTAGTTGACTTAACGAGGAGTAAAGGACCAATGATGGGAATGAGACCCTCTAATGAATCAATGATACGAAGCGCTAGTCCCGGCAGACGCTTGGAGGGAGGGGACCTCGGAGGCCCAGGCGGGTGGATTCCGGACCCCAAGCTCTCTTATGAACATGAGATGATGATTAGACTGCCGCCGCCCAGGGTGGACCAGCAAGCAGCGTGCCCAGTGGATGGTTTTTCAAGGCTGCAGAAGACGGTGTGCGGCTCCAACGGGGTTCGCAGGCCCTCGATTGGAGGGCGACACTTCTCAGTCTTCAGATAGCCTAGTACTCCGTAGCGAGAGTCCTACTGTTGCACTGTCGCATGGTTGTTAACGGCGCGAAAAGACAGCAACAAATATGGACAAGCGCATCAGCCCTTCTAGTAGTAGACTCTTGCCCTGGTTACACTTTTGTGTGTTTGTGTGTGCGTGCAGAAAAGGCAGACAAGGCGGTGCGCGCAGCCCCGCGGATGAATACCAACTCGCTCCTCATGCGGACGCGATTGACTTCAGCTGCTGTTGCTCAGCTGAACTCCCCAAAACCCTCGATGATCACTCGCTGCAATTTACGCAGCCTTGTCACTCCACTTACTAGACAGAAACACCGTCACCTAGTCTTACCTACATTTACCTAATCTCTCTTCTGAGTCTGCTCCCCTTTTGACTCTCCAATCTGGTACCCCGTTCCTGTCATCATATCCCGCTCTTCCCAGTCGTTATTTCCTCTGTGCTCCACACAACCTTGAAGGCGATCGCACTTCTGAGTCTCCGCCTATCTACTGGTACTTCGCTTGGTGGCAATTTGGCCTGCTTTTGTTTGACCTTCTACTATTTACATTACTCTCAGCCTCGGTGGGACTCTTGCTCGCAAGCTCTGATCTCTGATCATCGTCGCACCGGTTCCTAGCTTCCTCATCCATGTCACTCCAGGTGGGCGACCCACGGTCGCGAGGCCGTTCCAAGTCCCCAGGCGGCCGTATCCGCGACCGTTCCAAATCTCGCGACAGTCGACAACCTTCAACCCTTGACCGCACTTATTTGTCTTCCGCCCCGGCGGATGGGAAGCTGAGGGCCAGATCCAGGAGCAGGGGTGCTGCGCCAGGTGACTTTCACCGGTCTAATTATCGTTATGGCCCCTCTGATAGCCGGGATCCTTACTTAGGAATCGAGCACGGTCGAGACTACTACTACCAATCTGACTCGGGCGAAAGCAAAGGTGCAAAGCGCGACAGTAGGTATTCCTCCTCCGCCCATCGCCGCGATGCGCGCTATGAGAGCTACTCCGAGAACTCGTACTCGGACTCGGAGGATGATGCCCTTGCCTACGGTGACCTTCCTGATGATGACCTGGAGCGAAGTTATTACGGCTATAAGGGTACCGGCCGCGCTGCGTCACCGCGTCATGGTGGTGCTGTGATGTCTGGTGCACTCAATCCGGGTGTACCCCCGGCTGGGGCGTCATCTCGCTCTGGGGATGGCATGGAGCAGGTTCCTGGTGGTCATCCTAGCTATGCCCGACCCGACCCTTTCAAATATGCTGCGCAATCTCAGCATCCTCACGCTCAACCGTCACATTACGGTGATCCTCTTGCTTCATCTACCGTACCATCTACATGGGCACCGATACCTGAGTGTGAGCGACCGGGGTTTGTACCTCCATTGCCTCAGAGGCCCAATCAAGCAATGCCTGGTGCATTCCCCGCCGGCTCTACTCAGCCTGAGATGCCTGCCGCAACCGCTGCAGCCCCAATGCCTACATACAGATATGTCGATCCAAGTTCGACACAGAACCCTTATGCACCGCAGAATGGTCGCCCGCTGTCGGTGTCTGCTGCCAATACATACGCAGCTGGAGTGGGCTCTTCAGCCCATCAACGCTCCGCATCGAGCGATGCGGCAATTAAGCCCTCATATGCTGCCCCAACCCCGTTTCAGTATGCGCAAGTTGATCCTAACGTGAAATACTCAACCAAAAGTGCCGCGCAAAATGCTACCAAGCCGGTCACGTATTCCGCGGCGCCTCAATACTCGAAGAGTGGCGGCTCACAGGCCAATGACTCGCCCTATAGTGGAGTCAAATATACGGCTGCTCCTCAACCTCCTAAAACTCCGGCCAGTCGTCAGGAAAGCGGTCCGCAGTACGTGGAGATTGCACCTGGAAACCGGAATGCTGGCCGGCCTCATAGTCACTCCGTATCGTCGGCCCATAATCTCACAGTTGCTGGCCCTGACCCGACTCAACGACCGGCCAGCCCGCTCCAAGAGCCGTACAAAGGGACCTATCAAAGCATATCGCCGATGCCATCACCTATTGTCATTTCGTCACGGTACGATGATGACGTCTCAGACTTAGAGCTAGTGGGCACTAGTTCAGACGAGGGAAAGAGGGAACACAGACGCAAGAAGAGTAAGGACGAGAGGGAGTTGAAGCCCGATCGTGTGAAACGGGAGAGTAGCCGAGTACGGCACGAACGACATGGGTCCATCGGTCCTGACGCTCTCGTCGTGATAGCCCCTAGCAGCAGTCGAAAACGAGTTACCTTCTACGATGCAGGTCCTGATGCTCTAGCCTTGCAACAGGCTCTATCGCACACGCGACATGTTGACAATAAAACCCTGATCAAAGTGTTGCCACACTTGACAAGCGATGAAATCCTGGATCTGCGCAAGGAGTACAAAAAGCACGTCAAAGTCCACGGAAAGGGAGTGAACCTGGCGAAGCACGTCAGACTGAATCTGGGCAACAGCGCTTTTGGCAAAGTATGCTATGCTACGGCTTTGGGACGTTGGGAGTCCGAGGCCTATTGGGCAAATTGCTACTACCAGTCAAGTACATCTCGGCGTGAACTCCTGATTGAGTCTCTCTTCGGCCGGACAAATGGCGAAATCAGTGAGATTAAAGAATGTTTTCGGGATTCACGGTACTCGGATAGCCTGGAAAAGTGTATGAAAGCCGAACTGAAGGCAGATAAATTCCGTTTGGCAGTCCTACTTGCTCTTGAAGAGACTCGACAGAACGAACGAGATCCACTGGATCCAGAACTTATTGAGCGAGATGTGCACGAGTTACATCGCGCTCTGGTTTCGCGCCATGGGGGTGAGACGGCGATGATCTATATCATCGTCCGGCGAAGCGATCCACATCTTCGAGAAGTGCTACGCGCTTATGAGAAGGTCTATCAGCGTAATTTCGCTCGGGCTATGATGGAAAAGTCGCAAAATCTCGTGGTAAGTTCACTATGCCGTAGTTCAAGTTCCATTTCGCTAATTCATCTCACAGGGCGAGACACTTGCACATATACTGAACGGAGCAATCAATCGACCCATGCGTGATGCTCTCCTTCTGCACCAGGCGCTACGCGAATCACGTACGGGTAAGGAGCGGTCCGAGCTCCTGATCTCACGACTGGTCCGGCTTCACTGGGAGCCACGACACTTGGAAAAGGTCAAGAACGAGTTTCGGCAGCGGTACCGTGAGCGGCTGGAAGACGCTATTGCCGAAGAAGTATTGACAAGTAGCGGAGGTAGCGAATGGGGAGAGTTCTGTATCGAGCTAGCTCGCAGCTCCAAGACTCTTGTTGGCCGCGGTTGAGAATCTGGCTGCTCTGGGGAAGGTTGCTCTTTTGATTTTTCTTATTTCTTATTTCTTCCCAAAAGGAACAGTATATACTATTCCCTTGCTTCCAGCGCGTGATGAATGACGATTATGATGATGATAATGATAATGGTATCAGTATCATGAATGCAACATGTCGAGGCGATGTTCTTTACTTATGGATACCTGGACTGGCTGATCTGTCTGTCCTCTACCCCCTCAGCAAGACCGGAGCATGCTGGGCTCTCTGGCGGCGACGGCAGACACGGACAGATCGACATGTTCTCTCGGAGCAGGAAGGGGATATTTCTGTCAGGTGGATAAGACATGGGGTGGTAGCAATGACTTATCATGATGAAACCACGATCTTCTCTGTTTGATCGCACATAATGTCTACATTAACCTAAATTCCAGTGACACTTACCTTTTGAAGATATTTCAGATATCAATAAGATACGAATGCTCAAATTCCGTGATTTTCAAAGTAAATATGACCGAATTGAACTCTCAACTGCCTCTGGGCTGGAGGAGGTAGTCACCGGTCATGCATCAAGTATATCACAAGACAGACGAGACGTATTGGTGAGGGGGTGAAGTTGCCGCAATATTAGGCTGAACGGAATTTCTCCGAAAGGAGAGATTTGAAAGGTGGAGAAATGGCGGTAGAAATCTGGGGCAAGGAAGAGTCTATTTTGCTCAAAGTTGAGGAAGGATGAAAAGCAACTGGAAGAGTCTTGAGTTCAGCCCAACCCAACCGAACTCTGCCGCTATCCGAGTCGAGCTGAGTTGAATCCATCCTCTCCTTCCTCGTTCCTCGTCTTCCGCCTATCTCCGACCATGCAGCCATCCTGGTGCTTGACAGGGTCACACTGCATCATCCCCTGGATCTCATCTCCCTGTTCCACTTAGTGCAGCCTTCCCCCGGTTCCTGGACGCAGGGGGGATCCACTAAAAAAAAGTTGGATGAGGGGAAAATCATCCCCCCCCACCCCCGAACTACTCTATTTGATTTCTCCTTCACATGATGCCATCACCATCTTTGGTCACAATGCCCACTGAACCGTTAGACTTTGAACTATTCGAGAGCGACTTCGGCGCATGCTGCATTATCGATGATCGGACTGACGGACGAGAGTCAGTCTAGCTTCGATCTGCCAGCCAAAGAGCAAGACCATGCACTGAAATGTCACGGGCATCGCACTTTCTGCGGGGGTAATTTTACCTGCAGAGAACCGGCCCTTCAGATATACTAAAATATTGAATGCTAGTCATGTATGAACCATGTCACTTCCTGCCGTTTTCAAATTGTCGTCTCCGTTCGCTGAAGAGGGGGGATTCCTTCTCACCGCGTCCATCTCCAATGATTCCTTGGGGATTCTACTTTCTACTCCACTGAAATGCACCTTATTCATTTCGCTCCAGTTCTTGCCCCCCCCTCTTCATCAAACGGACTGGCATCATGTGTGACCACTTTAATCTATTGTTTGTTGTTTGTTTGAACTTATGATATTGTCACTCGTTCTTGTTTCCATCTGCAAAAGGTAGTCACCTGCCCTCCGAAATGCTAAGAATTGAGCTTCAGTCTGGCTGTCTCTCAGCACGACTACACTCGTTCGAGCCTCAGCCCCAAGACTCACCTGGACTGAATTTCAAGCATTCCTCCATGCAGCTTGATCAGTCTATGCCGGAATTGCCGATTACCGTCTGGCCTAAGGAGGTTCTGCAGCCCCAGTTCCGCATGAAAGAGAGCGGCCGAGACCAGATGCCTTAATTAAAGCTTGCATGGTAAGTTCTGGTCACATTCAGCCATGGCTTCCATGCCAGCGAGCTTCTCCATATTTGACACGGTGAAGAAAACTGCTCGGAGATTTGGATGTGCATGGGGTGGGGGGGAAGCACTTCTCCAAAGGACTGTGAGGTCAGACGACGGCTGAAGACATTGCATCACGCATCTCTTGGTCTTTCGCTGAAACATGCTAGATCAATTGAGATTGACGCAATATTCAGGACGTGTCTACCTTGAATCGCATCGTCCTTCAAATACCCCCTCCTTTTCCGCTTGGTATGCTGGCTCGATCCTGTGCTCAAACGTCCTTGACATTCCAGTTCAGCATTCCGGACTCCACATTCGCCATCATCGCTGCAAAATTTAATCTCTTTTGTCCTTCCCTTTTTGCTGCGCGAAGAAACAGGCGACTTTTATTTATAAGGAGGGTCATGCTCCTAGTCTGAGTGTCTGGTGGCTAAATCACAATGACGCGGTTCATATTAGGGTTACTGGTAACGGTGTTGGTCTCCTTCGCAGGGGCTACATCCGTATTCTCTCCTGCTCGACCCCCAGCATTACCTTTGGCAGTCAAGTCACCGTATCTGAGCACTTGGCTTGCTGCAGGGAGTGACGGAGGTAATGGAGGGTATTTGGCCGGGGAATGGCCAACGTTTTGGGCGTGAGTGCTACTTTACGCTGCACCACTGTGCAATTTTCTACAATCAACGCGTGTAATTGACTGAGACTTGATGTGAAACAGTGGGCAAATCAACGGCTGGGCTGGTATGGTTCGTGTCGATGGCACCACTTACACTTGGATGGGGTTGCCAGGAACTACCACAGTCAACCAGACTTCCTATGTTTACACGTCGACGAGAAGCATCTTTACCATGAATGTGGCCGACAAAGTGCAGATGAACATCACTTTCTTATCGCCCATTACGCCAAATGATCTGAAGAGACAATCGCTCATTTTCTCTTACGTGGATGTGGAAATTGAATCGCTTGATGGCGCGTCTCATGACGTGCAAGTTTATGCAGATATCTCTGCCGGTAAGTGAATCTCACAAGGGACAGTGGAGACTGGGTCTGGTACGGTTGGTTTCGGGATAACTGACACGCAGTAGAATGGACTTCTGGAGATCGCACTGCCACTGCAACATGGGACTACGGAACCACCAGCAACAATGTCGCGTACCACAAGGTTAGCCGCCAAACCCAGCTTGCTTTCTCGGAGACGAGCGACCAGGCGGATTGGGGAGAGTGGTTTTGGGCGACCGACGAGAACGAAAGCATGACATATCAATCTGGTATAGATGTAGATGTCAGAGGGGCTTTCTCGGCAAATGGGACGTTAGGAAACTCTCAGGATGCCAACTATCGCGCAATCTCGACTAATTGGCCGGTGTTCGCGTTTTCCCACGATTTGGGATCAGTTGACTCTTCAGTTGGAGTATTGTTCTCCATCGGACTGGCTCAAACCGATGCAATGCAGTATAATGGGACTGATAAGGGTTACGCACCTCTGCCATCGCTATGGACAAGTTATTTTAGTGATGGTGTTGAAGCCGTAAGTCCTCGCTGAGCCATTGCGGATACTATCATACACTAACAATCCACGATTCAAGCTGGACTTTTTCCATAATGACTACGGAACCTCTTCGTCTCTGTCCACAGAGCTAGATGACAAGATTGCGGCCGACTCTTTAGCAGCAGCTGGTCAGGACTATCTGACAATTACTTCGCTCACTGTTCGGCAAGCATTTGGTGCAACACAACTGTGTGGAACAATCGCAGATCCTTATCTTTTCATGAAGGAGATCTCTTCCGACGGAAATATCAACACTGTTGATGTCATATTCCCAGCCCATCCGATATTCCTATACACCAACCCGGAGCTACTTGACCTCCTACTGAAGCCCCTTTATGAGTTTCAGGAATCTGGGAAGTATCCCAACTCTTATGCAATGCATGATATCGGAAGTAATTATCCCAATGCTACTGGCCATGCAGATGGTAAGGATGAGGCGATGCCACTGGAAGAGTGCGGAAACATGGTTATCATGTCTCTGGCATACGCTCAGAGGGCCGGCAATACGTCCTACCTTGAAGCGCATTATGACATGCTCAATGTATGGACAAGCTATCTGATCGAAGATGCGCTGTACCCGTCCAACCAAATTTCTACTGACGACTTTGCTGGAAGTCTAGCGTGCGTTTTCCGTGGTTCGTTTGCAAACAAATGCTGACTCATTCTATAGCAACCAGACAAACTTGGCTTTGAAAGGAATCATTGGCATTGAGGCGATGGCCACCATTAGCAAGCAAACCGCTCACTCTTCTGATGCTTCGAACTATACAACAATCTCTCACCGATATATCCGGCAGTGGGAGAAGATTGGCATTGCACACAATGCCCACCCTGCCCATGCAACGTTGTCATATGGCGCAAACAACTCCCATGGTTCGTGGGGTCGGATTTGCACTTTTATATAATTGAGTCACTGACAATTCGAACCTATAGGTCTCTTGTACAACCTTTACGCCGACCGTGAGCTGGGACTGGACTTGGTGCCCAAGTCAGTATACGAAATGCAAAGCGCATTCTACCCGACGGTGCAAAATACGTATGGAGTACCGTTGGACACGCGACACACATATACCAAGGGTGAGGCAACTTGAATATCATATGTTGATATCCTTCTAAAACATCATACAGGTGACTGGGAGCTGTTCGCTGCCGCGGTCGCGTCCACCAGCACGAGGGACATGTTCATCCAGCTTCTTGCCAACTGGATCAATGTTACTCCAACCAATCGAGCGCTTACGGATCTCTATGATACCACCACTGGGAAGTAAGTATACAGCGCTCTCCGTTTTTTCAGAACCATTCCGGCTAACATTTGTAGCTATCCATCGATCACCTTCATCGCCCGACCCGTTGTGGGCGGCGCCTTCGCCCTCCTACTCCTCAACCAGGGCAATTGACTTTTTCGCCGTTATATATACCCAACTATTCTTGGTCTATGCAACTGACCTGTTCTGTTTAAAGCCTTTGGTTCCTTGGAGCGGACCCACCTGTTTTGTCCATTCGTTCAGATGTGCCGGTCACTCGCTATGCATTTATCTTTGGAATTGCTTTATTGTTACCAGACCGTTGTTTGTATCTTTAGGCCAAGTCTATGCTTTCGATTGTCGGCCTGGTGGTGCATTCGGAGGCTATGGCACGCAGAGTATATACGTTCCCTCGCCTGGGCTGTTGCAGGGCTGCAAATATTACTTGGTGATCGCATGTGCTTGGATTCTAGCTGGTTGATTGTCTGATACGGAAATTAGTCATCTTGGCTGTAGAGAAGCCGACTTTCATCGCCCGGTCCTTGGATAATCCATGGTATAGCCATAATGCATTGCAAGCGTTGGATGGACGTGTCAATGACCCCGGCTAGAGGGTCACTGTCGTCTACTATCACCCAAGCTTTTCTTTCCTATGATACTGACATAGTTCTACTGGACTAATTCCGAGCCATTTTGCGGAGACGAAACCAGGGTCTAGCATATATACTATTTTCCCTTGCGCTTGCACCGGGGTACCTGTGCCTTGCGTCACCATCACAACTCAAGCGAGACCTCATCCGGACTACCTTCCCAAGCATCAAAAGAACGAATGAGATCTGAATGATGAGAATCAACGAGTTAGCTTATCATTTCATATGCGCGAAATAGATACCGACAGGTCTGACAGTTTACGTCGAGGGGAAGGAGGGATGAAACAACACTGTCCAAGGACATACCATAGTACAACATGATGGCCTCCAAGTGGGCATCGATGCCCACGCGCTCGTCGACGGTGTGGATGTTCACCGCCCGCCCGGCGCGGGAGGGACTCCACCGGTAGATGTTCCGGGTGAGGGGCCAGTAGAATCGGGTGTCGGTGTTGCCGGTCATGATGTCGCCGCTGACGACGACGGTCTTGCCCTGGAGGGCGGGGACGGACTCGAAGACGGCGCGGGTGACGCCGGAGAAGCGGGCCCAGACGGGGTCGGTGCGGAGGTCGGTCGGGCTGACGGGGGCCGGGTCGAGGGCGCCGCTGAGGGTGGTGAGGGTCAGGTGGTTGTTGAGGGAGGTGTCGACCTGGTTGTCGGCGGGGAACGCGGTCACGCTCAGGTTGTACTTGCGGGCGATCGGGCTGATGATGTCGACGGCGCGGCGCTGGATCTCCTGTGGGGTCTGGTGCAGGGCCACGCGGTAGTTGACCAGCGCGGAGATCTTCTCGGGGAGGGCGTTGGACTTGACGCCGCCCGCGACGAGGTCGGCCGCCTGCGAGGTCTGGAGGATGAAGCGGAACTTGTCGCCACGGGAGTCCGCCAGCTTCTCGGCCAGGGAGACGTGGTCCGAGGAGCGGAGGGCCGAGGCCAGCCACGGCTCGACCTGCGCGGGCGAGTGGCGCACCTGGCACTCGAGTTTTTGCCGGGATGGGTGCCGCTCGTCCAGCACGGGGATGAAGAGGTCCTGTCGCTCGAGCGAGTAGATGATCTCGGAGATGATGCCGATGCCCGTGTGAGGCGGGGGCACGGAGCTGTGGCCGCCGGGTACGGCGAGGGAGAGCACGATGTCGATGCTGCCCTTTTCGCCGACGCCGGGGAGCGCGTAGATGACTCCATCATCGTCATCAGTGGCGCTCGCTAGTTTGTTGTTGTCGTTGTTGTCGCTGAAGGTTTCCAGACCCATGCCGCCTTCGTCGAGGATGAATTCGAAGCTATTGGGACCGTACTTCTTCTGCAGGAATTCCGAGATATTCCCGGCGCCGAGGAAGCCGTGGGACTCTTCATCGAAGCCAAAGGCAAAGAGAACGCTGCGTGTGGGCTGCCAGTCTTGGGATAGCAGGTCCTCCACGGCCGACAGAAGACCGATCAGGACGTTCTTGCAGTCGCTGGCACCACGGCCCCAGAGCCATTCGCCGTCGAAGTGACCGGCAAATGGAGGGTAGGTCCAGTCGGCAGCGTCGTTGATTGGCACGACATCCTGGTGAGCCAGGAAGAGAATCGGCTTGAGGCTGTCGTCGGTGCCATTGAGTGTGTAGACTAGTCCTAGGCGGTTGACGTGATCTACACGGGCGTGGGAGTGGCTGCGGCAAACGGTTGTTAGGAGACACTCATGGCCGGAGAGGAATCCCCACTTACAGGAGAGGAAACAGCGTTTGCAAGAGCTCGTGGAATTCAAGGAATGGAGCGAATTTCTCATCGTAGGGGTCTTTCATGTAATCATCAATCGTGGTTGGGACTTGAACTGCTCGCGACAGACGGTCGACCTGTCGCGACTTCACTGCCTCGTCGGTAACAAACTTGACCGAAGAGAAGAAGCCGTCATCCGGGGCTTGAACTTTAGGTGCCAATGGGCAAAGATCGCTACTTTCGCCGGAGGGCCAGGAATTGAGGAGCTGCTGCGCCGAAGGAACGCTGAGAGACGCAACGGAAGGGGCTAGCAGCCCTACAATGACAGGTAGTAGCTGATACATGGGCAATGGTTCAGGTACAGGAGAGCAGCACTCGCAGGGAAGAAGAACAATCCCATTTTCAGCGATTATGGATCCATTATAAATGAGGGGAAGTAGCTTAAGCCACAAAGCAATGGATTGAGTTATCTTATCGCCGGGTTGCGCAATCAAGGCGTCGATGGCAGCCCCCTCATTGTATCTGCCGGCGCGATAAGTCGGCTATCGGCTAAGACGGATTTGGCCGCGCCAGGATTGCCTGAGAGGGCAAGTCTTTCCAGAGACTAGGAAGCATTTCATGCAAAGCGATAGCAACCGAAGCTTTGGTGGCATTCGAAGGCGTATTATGAGTGGCGGTGAGGTACTTTAGAGCCACTATTCCTGCGGGGTAGAATCTCGAAATAGACGATAAGAAGGACTGACAGTCTCACGCATCATCGGAAGCAGATGGCTAGTCATTGTCTCTTGTTGATTTGCCAAATCAACCACTTTGAAATTAGCTCTGATGAACTTTTGCTGCAGGTTGAGTAGATACTGGGATCAGCTGCTGTTCCAGTTACCTCCGTGCTTAGTGAAGCAGAAGTCGCAGTTTGGTCTTGTTAATCTGCAAACCAGACCAAAGCCATCTACTGATAGCATGAAGGGTAGCAGCGATGGCTTTTTTAACTTTCGATGATGACGATGGAAGCCGAGGCTAAAGTGTCAGTGCATCACTGTGGCGCTGTCAAGCTTGTGAGGATCGACAGGAGTAGCACAACAGGAGAATCTGCATGAGCAACAGCCAGCCTTGACGGAGAAAAAAGGGTTGATGGCATGGTGTGGGTATGTTGTGATGATGCGTGATGAATGATATGCCGATTCATGAAGGAAGGTTGGTAAGTCGTAACTGGAACTTGAAGTCAGAGAAAGATGCCCAGACAGGAAGGACGATAGTGGTCTCGTGACTTGGCCGTCCTTTCTTTTTCTCCCTCTCGCCCTTCCACCCCACGGATACTTACGGATACTTACTTCTTTATCTCACTTGAAGCTTTTTGGTCCTTTGATTCCTTGATGTTTTCCTGCCCAACGACTCATTTGGCATGCTTCAGCTTAAGCTTCCATGGAACCGACATTCTGTCGCGTTGATCATTGAGTGATGAAACGGGGATCAGGAACATCTCCATTTTGTGCCATTCTGGTCAGCTAATAAGAATCCACTCCAGGATCCATCATGGGCTCTCCCCACAAATCCAACCAACTGACAATCGCTAGTCATCGCGTGGTGGTCTCAGAAACCAATAGCGCGTTGATCCCTACATCACCCGTTCAAACCTTTCTGAGAGGAGTCAGAGGACAAATGATGAAACACCAGCCTTAGTTGCTCAACACAGCAAGGGATCGTCCGAAACGCTGCCGGCGCGGAGCCGACGATCGCTTAACGAACCATTATGGAATCCGGACAGAAAAGAGGCGTTCGTATGCGCGATCATCAGATCGGCATTTCTGCTGGGTTTCAACCGCCGATTTTTGCATGCTGCCCCAAGGGGTTGGTTCGACATCTGAAAGTGTGTATCGTCGGTTGGTTCGTCTCCATCCGCTGGTATATTAAAGATGGATCATATTTAGGTTGACTCCGCCCATGAAAATTGGAACCTCTCCTGTCATCCATATCATTCTTTCGCCGTCTGTTTCTTCTTTCTCCCTCCTGTCAAGCCCATATCCACTCTTTGATTCAGAGTTTTCTTCCCAAATCGCATACACGTTCTCTACCCAGCCTTTGTTCAGATTCTACACCATCAACCGACAAGATGATTCGGACGAGCATCCGCAACCTCGCGATCCTGTCTCTCGCCTCCCTCTCGTCTGCCTCTTCTTTTGTGGGCTGCTATAGTGAACCCGGCGAGCTAGTTCTCGTGGGATCCTATCAATTCCAGTCCATCGGATACTGCCAACAAACCTGCGACAAGCGTAAGCAGACTGTATACGCTCTGCACGACGGGAATCAATGCTACTGCGGCGATGCATTGCCCTCTTCTGAATCTGAGGTGCCAGCTGCACGATGCAACACGCCTTGTGCTGGGTTCCCCTCTGATACTTGTATGTCTCCTCCACTTTGTCTATCATTGCACAGCAGCTAATCATGTCCACACAGGCGGCGGCTCTGACACCTGGAGTGTCAGCTCCGACTCCATGAACGTCAAGCGCGATGATGCCGGCTCGGTCATCGTGACCGCACCGGACACGCCGGACTCAGCGGCAAACATCCAAGTCAATCCCACCTTGGTCGAGACTGGCATTGCGCTCGCCAGTAGTGTCGTCAGTGACGCGGGAGGCAGCGCCAAGACATCTATCCCCAGCGTCATCTTGACTGCGCCAACCATGACTGCTGCGCAGCAACAGCAGCAGGTGGGCTCGGCGACCGCCACTGCCGCGTCGATCGTGATTGTTGCGTCGAATACTCCATCCTCTTCGGCTGCTGTTGCCTCATCAAGCGCATCTGCAAGCCCCTCGGCCAGCGTAGGCGCTGCTGCTGTCTTGGACCCGGGTGCGGGGCACGGGTCGCTGGTCGGTGGCTTGCTGGTCTCGATACTTGCAACCCTGCTTTATTAAAGAGACATTGCGCATGGTCGGCAGACGGATGGCAGTTGATACTCATTTCAATGTATAGCTTTCACAATACCCTTGATTGACAGTCGAGAAGAACCGCAGGTCGGTTCGCATGTACTTACTATCGCCACCAGGGGGTCATTGCAATGCTCACTGCAGTCTCCCATGTAATTAGAAGAAATTATATAAAAATAGGAAAATACAAAAATAGAAGCTGGGGGGAGAGATCCTTCCATGATCATATGCTCGCTCGGTCAAGGCGAGCGACCGTCAAATGCTAGCATAACAAGAGCTAAGCTACTGAGTAGTATGAGTACTGAGATTCCGCATCATCTGGCATGTCGAACCCGAGGAAAGCCCCTCATTACAAATATGGTGGCGAAGTCGGTTGATGTGGCAGGAGGGTTTAATGGTGCATTCAGCCTGAAGTATAGCGGGTGTACGCATGGATGGAGCATTAATGCGGTCATGAGGAGAGGGCTCAGACCACACATCTATTCATAGGTCCTAGCTTATAGTACTATGTACCTGATGCTAATGCAACCTACTAATCAAGCATCAGCAACGGGGACCCTTCCCCATCAGAACCAAGAATCAGACAATGTCATATTTCCTTGTCCACGGAAAACCAAGCTTCGCCATGGAACGGTAGCAGTTTGTAGTAAACTTCCGCGACGAACCCGCCTGGCCCCCTCGGCCTTCCCCAAACATGACCAATAAAGCGAGCCAAGATACGAGGACACAGTGGAGTAAACCGATTTCAAGGTACAGCACGCTGAGCATAGTATAGGTCTGCAGACTTACCCCCCTCCCCTCCCCCCCGAAAATAGAAAAATCAGGCGTCGCGAACAGCCGGATTCCCGCTCGATGCGGTGGGAAGAATAATCAATCAGGGTCTTGTCTGGTGATGTGGAGGCTGAAGGACCCTGTACTTACTATACGTACTCTGATATCGACAGCAGTATAAGAACCATGCTCTACTCTAGGTCAGGGACAACAACAACAACAACAACAACAACCACAATCCCCCCCCAAAAATCTCCACAGCACAGCACACTCAACACCCCCAACATCCAGCAACAAAACCAAACCAAACCAAAAAAAAAAATGTCGTGCAACCTCCTCACCAACCCCTCCTTCGAAACCGGCACCTTATCGCCGTGGTTCACCACCGTCCCCAATGTGAACATCGCCACCATCACGAACGCGACCGCCGCCTACGATGGGCATTATTACCTGTATGTCTGCCCTCTTCCCCCCATGAAAACTAGCCCTGGGCCCCCTGCCCCCTGCCCCCTGCCCCCCATCCCCCATCCCCTATTACATGTACTGTACAGGGCTAAAGCAGGGACTAGCGACCTCAAAACCGACTACGGCAACAGAGGCCACTCGATCGCGCAGACGGTGACGGGCCTCCAGCGCGGCACGGTGTATGACTTCTCGGCGCAGATCCAGATCCCGGCACCCTCGGGGGTGGAGTACTGTTTTGTGGACGCGTATATCGGGGCGAATGCGACGACGGGGCTCATTGTCTCGCAGCTGTTGGAGCCCACGGGCGAGTGGACGACGGTCAGTGGGTCGTATAAGCGGCGGGGGCGGCGGGCGGAGGATGTGTTGACGGTGACGGGGTCGTGTACGTCGCCGGGGAGTTCGTATGTTTGGGATGTGTTGGTTGATGCGGTTGTTCTTGAGGCGGTGGGAGGGTGTGTTTGATTGATGATGGGGTTGTCGGGCTGGGTTTGTGGGTGATTGATGGTGATGGGCTGGGCTGGGGGTTTGGGGGAGGGAGGGGGTGTACTGGGGATCTAGTTGAGGGCATGTTTTGGATGTATTGGGATGTTTGGACCTAGGATTTAATGCGATGGATGTAACTATCTGCTGCTGGTGCAATGGACTATGCGAGAGAGTTACGGAGGGAAGAATAATTCCTCGCGGGGGGTTTATACTTCCTGCTTCAAGTTCGTTCAATGACGTGCCAACCGGGAAAAAAATACAAGGGAGCTTTCCTGAGATGATTGCACGATGCAGACATAGGAACTGAAGGCATGCCAGGTATAGTCGGTACTGCACAGTCTGCATGCAGACACAACAAAATAAAAAAAAATAACCCACCCCTCCTTCCCAAAACAACCCCAATCCCACCCTCGAGCGAGTCCAATTCTAACTAACCCTTAACCCAACACCCTAACCACTACCCTCAATATCAACCCCACACAAACAAAGAAACACAAGTTGGAAACACCTCCCCCATACATACTAACCTGTACACTCATGGCATATTCTCGAGCCTACAGCACGGGATGTGATCTACTCGGACAGGGGGGGCATTTGAATCGGGGGCAGAAGGATACCAGTAGTCGCCTGAAGGCAGAGCCACCGGAAATGAGTGACCACCTCGTTAGAGGGCACTACCTCAGAGGACTACCTCATCCACCTGCAACCACAGCCTCAGTAGCGAGATTAGATCGAATGACATCAACGCTGCAGCTTGAGTTTCTGACTGTCCTGGTACGTGTATCCATTAGTATTGTCCACAAAATATGCTCCCTGATGTGTGAAAACTACTAGTCATAGATTAGAAGACATATTGGTATGCGCGCTACCATACAAGGCCCGGTAGAAGATTAGAAAGACATAGTCTCCAATACCCAAGAGGCTAGTCGCATTCCAACCTTGACCAACCCTGCTTAATCAGCACCACAGTAACAAGACCCGAGAAGAATAGAGACACTGAAAGGGTATCAGGAATTCATCATAAATCATAATCCACACTGCCAGATGACTGCCCAAGCCACTCCAATGGCCGCGACATCTCAACGGCTCAATGTGATTCAAGCCAAAGTCCTACCGCTGCTTTCTTCGATCATAAACTGATGCACTGACGGTGACGCCGTCCCAGCCAGGGGGAAGTGGTATGTCATTCCTGTGCGCCATTAGCCCATTAACATTAACAAGCGACTGAGTGGCTTCGCGTACTTTATGTGGTAAATCTTGATATTCCGTGCTCTGTCTTTGACCTGCCCCTCATCTTTGTTCATAAACCTTTTTTCACCCGGCTGCAGAGGCTCGATCGTGTCATGTTCTTTGATTTTTTTCCAGTTGAACATGGTGCCCCTTAGACACTCGTGTCCATGCTGGCCAATAAGCCTATCTAGTCGCTTTGTTTGCGCAGGCTCCCAGCGTTCCGTAGGCCGCCGACCGCGTTTGTGTTTCTGCGTGGAAGGGGCCGAGGCGGATGGTGAATTTGGTGAGACCGATTGAGCGGATCGAGCCGACCTTCTAAGTGGACTAGCCTGTATCTCTTGAGCACGATTGCTCGAGCGCTCCGTCGCATTTTCTGTTTGATTTTCTCGACGGGCACGTTTGCTGCGTGGCTGGATCGGCTTTCTGGCTCGTTGGCGCTCTACGGATACCTCGCGGTCGTCGTGCTCGAACTCAGCATCGCTTTCAGGAATCTCATCGGGTTCTCGCCCACGCTTGCGGGATGTCTCGTTGCGCCGACGCTCGACGCTTCGAGGATCCAGTCCCTGACTGATGGGGGACACGCGTGCGGCATTAGTCTGCCGGTCAATAAACAGGGCACGTGAGTCGCGAGGCGCAGCCGTAGACCGTGGGGTTTCTTCGTGAGACACGTTTGATACATGACTGACATCGTCGTTCGTGCCTTTTGATTGGCCGTGCCTGGATTGCTGCAATGCCTCCTCTCGAAGGGACGATGGACGGGAGTTGCGAACAAACGAGGGACTATGAGATCTCTCCAATTGAGACTCACCAGGATCACCAATGTCTAGTTGGCCATCGGTCACCTCGATTTCGACCTCGTCTTGAACAAATGTAGACGTCATATTGGGCGATGCTGGGATTTCGGACGGCTCCTCGGGGGCCGGTTCCCTTGTGTTTGCCCTCGGGCGCTCTACCTGGCGATCTTCAGAACTCTTTTCTGAGGTGAGCTGCTGCCTCTCGGAACGGTTTGTTGGTTGAAGAGGCTCCGTCTGCCGGGGAATTTCGGGAATTTCGGGAGCAGCGCTGAGCTGCTTTTGTCGTTGCCGCAATCGATCCATGGCTGTTGGATTCAAAAACATTCTTCTGGACGTTAGAACAAGGACAGCAAAAACAGCAGAAGGAGGACTCACGGCTTGGATTTGAGGGACTTCCTCCGTTCTCCATCTACCGGCGGAGGCTTCTTGAATGAGTTTGGCGGAATGTTGTTGCTAGCCCGGGTTGTTTCGACAGTATTACTGGCACTTTTCTCCGGTCTGGTAGTGACAGGCACGGGCTCTGCGCGTGTCGAAGACCTAGCAGGTTCAGCAGGTTTTGGGGTAGCTCTTTCCGGCCCTCTGGCTTGCTGTTCAACGCGCGGCGTAGCAGAACCATTCACAACTTCAGCCTGCTGCATACTTCCAGACCGTGGTGTAGGCAGCTCCGGCTGCAATTGCCTCTGAACCTCTGGGCTCACGAGAGTCCGACTAAGATCGTGCTCGACAGGAGATCTAGTAGTCCTCTGCAGTGATCTTGCAGACGGTCTAACAGGAGATTCTAACTGCATCGATCTGCGGGCCTCGGGACTTGCGGACTCCCCCGACTCCCAATGAGGATTTCTTCCCACCGGTTGAGTTTCGGGTACAGTATGGTACTCATTCCGAAGGCTAGGAGGAGTGGCACTATGCCGCGTACTTCGTGCCGAGACCCCACTGCCAGGGATATTTTGCGGACCATTTCGAGCCAGCGAGGGCGTAACAACAGCATATCTCGAAGTCGTGGCAGTCCCTGGAATAGACTCCGTCGGATGCCGGGCAGCTGACGGCGTTACTGAGTTTCGCGTCCTAGGGGTCGAAGAAAACGTGCTGCCCAGACTATAGCGCGTCTTAGGTCTGGCAAAGAACGCCTTTTTGACATCCTTATAAGTTTGTAATGGTCGTGGCATATCGGCATTAATTTCGTCGGTCCGTTTACAGACCCATTGGGCAGCGCGTAGGACGAACTTCCGCCACCCGTAGTTTTTTTTGAGCCCCTCAATGTCGATGGTGTCTTCCACCAGGCAAAGAGCCTCCATTTCCTGGTAGCGATACGCCACCTCAGCTGCAAGCTCTGGTGGGATTTCTCCGTTAGGACCCCTCAGCGCCTCAGTTTCGAAGCCTCGGAGAACTAATCCCTCTCCACTCGCCAGCTCAATGCAGAAGCCCTCTTCCAGCACTCTGGAAGGCTCAAAATCCGGATCATGCTGATACTTCTCCTCCAGCTGCATGATCGTGTACTGGGTACGCAGTTCTAGAGCGAGATCAAAGGTCTCCTTTTCCAACAGACTATCACCCGCAGATCTCTTCTGGCCCGCTGGTACGAGCCTGGTGGTGAAAGGCAAAGGAAATATGCTGTCAAGGATCCGGATCGCCTGCTTTAGAGATGAAGTTGATTCGGGTTCGCACAGGAGAACCTCGAGCACAAACCGCGCACAATTGGCTTTTTGCAAGGCTGGGGCTGGATCCCACTGGCCCTCAAGCTCATGTAGCTTCTCAGCCACTGTTGCCGATGATCTGACAATGTCATCAACCAGCTCGATGTCAATGTACGGCTGACTTCCGAAGTACTTAGCTTCCTCTCTGAGGTTGGACGTTTGTCGAGCCAGCCGCCAGCTTTCCAAACTTTGGGGATCATTCAGCTTCTGAAGCAACTTGGTAAACTCGAGCATTTCGAAAGGGCTGGGCACCGAGAACTCCAGCATATCCTCGGCCGCATCCCATAACTTGGGGAAAGCCTCAATCATCTTCCCAGGGTCAAGGTCCAATTCCGGCTCCGAGGGTAAGATAGTGGTCCCGGAGATATTGATCTCATCATCTGGTGTCTCAGGGATGACCTGATCCTGATTTTCAGGTCGCGAAGCCATCGGCTTCAGAGGCGACGATCTCTGAGGGGATTCCTCGACGACAACATCAAGGGCTGACAAAGCAAAAAGACAGTGAGCTTAAAGGTCACACAGGAGGGTCGAGACAGGCCCAACGCAAACAAAGGAGAACCCGGCATGAATACGACAAATAAAGACAACCGACCATCCCACACAAACAACAACAACAACAACCACACATCCTCCACAGTGATATACAGAGCAAGGTGAAGAGAAATGAATAAGAAGCCATTCACTCACCGGTTGCATGTCTCTTCTTGCCTGAGGTAGCCGCATCATCATCATTATCCAGGTGATGATCAGCGTCGTCCTCATCATCAACCAGCGGTCGACGACGATGCCCCAGCTCCCGACTCTGACTCCTGGTCACTCTCCGGGTCACGGGACTTGTTGTTTTCCTGAGAACTTGACCAAAAGCACCGGAACTTACGCCATGACCATTCAACCCTTCCTTCATCAGCGGCAGGGATGAAGAATATGATGGGGTGGAAGGTAGTCCTTCCACCTGGCGCGACCGCGACCGCGCCATAGATATCGAACCCAAAACAATGACCACAACACACAGTGAGAGAACCCCGTGTAAACAGGAAGGCGGTCAGGCGGGACGGGAAGATGTAAGTGGTATTCCCTACTAAATCCCCCTTGCAGCGAAAGGAAGTAGAAAATTGAGATGCAATAAGAGTGTTTCCTACCAGCACCGATGGTTGTTGTGATAGAAGGGAAATGGTCGATGGCTGGGAGAGGAGGGGGCCCGGAGCGGAGAAATGGAAAGAACTGGATTGTGCCAAACGCTTATGGGACAGACTTGGGGTAAGCGGTTGCACTAAACAGGGTATGGGCTTATGTAAGTGGCTTACCTCAGCGGCAGAATCAGGACGGTGAGTCCAAAACCCTGATGTAAACCCTAATGTTAGATCTTAGGACCCTTTGGACATTTATTCCCCTTTGGGAAGACAGTGTTGCCTGCCCGGTGGAAGTGATGGAGAGCTATCGCATGAAGTTAGATGCGTCTCCATAT